TGCCAGAGGCTTTCTATGTTGCCTAGGTTGGTATCAAACTTGTGGGCTCAAATGATCTTTCTACTTCACACAGCTAGCTGAATAGCTGATACTACAGGCATGTTCCACTGTGTCTGACTTCCTGTTTTTTTTACATATCAACTAGGTTTAGATTGTATTTTGGACTGGGTAAATATTACATTGTAGAAACTCTACATTCTATTATTTTCCTCCACATGTGTGTGTGTTTTAAAGCAGGTAACTAATGAGGCATAAAATGCAAGCTAACTCTTGGGTGGCAGCTTAAATTTCAAACTATTTCTTTCATCTTTAGTTGGGTTATAGTTATTTATAAGCAACCTAGCACATGTGTGGTTCACAGATCAGTTTGAAATGTCAAAAGATACATAATTAATATTTCTTCCTCTCTGGCTTTCTGCCTATAGCTCCTCCTGATTTTCTAACAGTTGTAGTTATTATAAACTGTGTACTTTGTTATTTCAGGTGAAAAAGGATTTGTGAATGATACTGGAGTTTTAGTCACTGTGTGGCTCATATTAAAAGCCGTAAGCAATGGAAAGTTATCCTGGGTCTTTCCTTTTTTCTAAGTGATGATGTTTCTCCAGAATCTTTCTAATTCTTTCAGGTAGTTTTTTTGTTCTTTTATCTATAATTTATAGTTGTTGTCTTTAAGAGAGTGTATCCAACAGTAATTTATTTGACCATATTAAAAGTGGTAGCTAGATAACACAGTCATGCTAGTGAGGAATTTGACTGTATCTGTAAAAATTAGAGTTGAGCATATTCTTGAGAATTCTTGCCTATGTACGTAAGAGCAAGAATGTTCACTGCAACTTTTTATAATAGAAAAAATGGAACTAATCTAAGTTTTCATCAACAAGATGGTAAATAAATTAATCATGGGATATTTAAACAGAAATATTATACAGTATTAAAAATGAATGTTAGTAGCTAGTAAATACAATTAAGTCAAAATGCAATATTGAGCAAGAAGCTTAAGTTTATGAAGATATGTACAATTTGATAATGTACAGGGCTGGGGGGGAGTGGAGCTAAATTGTAGAGTGCTTGCCTCGCATGCAGGAGGTCCTGCATTCCATCCACAGCACTTAAAAAAAATAAAACAATATGTATTGCTTATGAAAATAGACAAGACATAGTACTTATTTAGTTGCCCTATCTGAAATTTTATCTTAGTCAAAATTTCAACACCTTCCCCTTCAGTACAAATTATCTCTTCCTTTACTTTAATAGTTTTCTTTTTTTTTTTGTCTTTTTCATTTTTATCGGTACCAGGGATCGAACTCACGACTGCCTGCTTGCAAGGCAGGTGCTTATGCTGCTGAGCTAAATCCCCAGCCCCTAATAGTTTTCTTTTAATATTTACCAGTACTTAACGTACTATGTAGTTTACTTTTAACTTCTTTTGTCCTTCCCACTAGAATATTAGCTCCATTAAACAGAGATTTTTTTTCTCCTTTCACTTTAGGATTCCTAGTGCCTAGAACAGTGTTTGGTATATAATAGGCACTCAATAGGTGGTTGCTGAACAAATAAATGAATAAATTAGATGTGGGGATATAGTTGACTATAGAAGACTAGTGGGTACCTCTCCTTGAATGCAGCACAATTGCTGCAACGTTAGTTAAATTGAGTTTTATTTCCATATACTGCTATGTTCAGAGCTGGCTATGGTATATCTTTCTGTAAATAAGACCAGCTGAAGTACTGAAATGGAATCTTTGGGGCCATCCTGGCAGTTTCCTGTTTCCTCACATATTGGTCTCCACAAAAGATACGAGCACAGCAGAATGTACAGCCAGTTAGCTCCAGGAATGTCAACTGGATATGAGCCTTGAAATAAAGAGGCTATGAGTCCCCATTGCACAAATATTTACATATCAGAAACTGAAGCAACAGCTTCCAAAAACGATTCAATTGCTACTTTAATTGAATTATGCAGATTGATCCTTCTGTGTGTCATTCTTCCTGCATTTTGTAAAGATGCTTTTTTTCCTACCTGGCTAAACAGCTCAAGTTACTCATGCAGTTCCAGCCATCCTCACTGTCACTTATCTTGAAAGTCATTCCCTTCTTCACAAGATAATAAATTCTGGGAGAGGCCTTGGGTCATGGCCTTTTTTTGCACATCCTTACTTGGATTGGGTTTAGGACCTCTTGGCTGCCCTTTGAAAATGACTTGGTGTCTTTTCTCTCACTCTGAGTCATATTGGAGGTAGTAGACTGGAATTAACTTACCAAGATTCCAATAATGTCCCATAACAACTTTTTGAATTGTGAGGAAGATTGGAAAAGAGATTGCAATACTTAGATTATAATATTCAATATTGGGATTACAATAGTTGACCACAAATTCAGAGTAATTTTGATTTGGTTATCTTTGCTTTTGAGAAAGAGTTTCACTTTGTAGTTCAGGCTGGCTTTGAGCTCCCCATGTAGCCTAGGCTGATCTAGAGTTTGTGGCAATCCTCTTGGCTCAACCTTGGAGTGCTGGGATTACAAGTGTGCACAAGGCCTAGCTTTATATTGTTCTCTTGAGACAAGATCTCTCTATGCAATTTAGGCTGGCCTTGAGCTCACTATGTAGCAAGGCTGGCCTCTTACTTGTGGTGACCTTCCTGCCTTGGCCTCTTGAGTGCTGGAATTACAGGTATGTACCACCACACCTGGCCCAGAATAATTTTTATATGGTCTCTTAATATCTCTGAAATCTTTTATTTTTGAAACATAAAATATATAATGCAGTATAAAATGTTAATATCTGATGGTAGTAGCATTCATGATATCATTATTTATTTTCCTTTGGAGTGCTGGGATTTGAACCCAGAGCCTCATGCATTGTAAACAAGCACTTCATCACTGAGAGGCACCTTTAGACTTCCTTTTTATTTTTATTTTATATTTATAAACCCCCTTTTAAAAAAGAATTTATTTTTGAAGTATTTTATTAAGCAATAGAAGAGGCAAAATAGTGAGGATTTTGAAGAACATTATATCAGAGATGTCAAGGGAAGAGGGAATTTAAAAAGGAATAGAAAGATATTTCAGATGCTGATATTCATCATGAAGGGATAAAGCATTTGGCAAAACTTTGGTTTTGTTTGCAAATTCTGCATCAGGTGCCAAACACAACAACTGTGGTCTCTTATCCCGTAAAAACACAAATGTAGCTATCTTTTCCAAAATCCTAGAACAAATTAAGTTTGTGAATTGACTGTGTATCAATTAAAGAAGTGACTGCAGGCTTTCAAGTGTCTGAAACAGTCAGAACTGACTTGAACATATTGGGTTCATTTAAGCAACTTGAGCAAGATTGCCAAAACAGCTTTCCAGGAACTGTTCTAGATTCTCACAGTATACTCATTTAATCCTGACAATGGTGATTGATGTGGATATATATGACCATCTTTCAGGTGAGGATATTTAGGCATAGCGAAGTTAAAGGAATTGTATAAGATCACACAGCTTATATGAGGCAGAGCTGAAATTCAAACCTAGGCTAAATTTGGGATCCATGACCTTAATAACATTATACTCTCTGTGGGGTAACAGGAGGCATAATGATGACATACAGCAGGACTAGCAAGCAGATTAAAGGAAAACAGTTTTTCAGTACACACTTTTATCGTTTGTTTCTGTATTATACAAGACACTTTTTTCTCTTAAAAAACTCAATTATTATTTACTTTATCAGAACCTCAAGTTTCTCAGAAATGTCTGAGTAAATCCTTGAACTTTCTTTTAATTATACAAAATGTTTGTCATCTTCTCTGAAATACTGATTATATCCATATTTTCTTCAAAATGATTCTGATTTATTTTTGTTGAAGATTACCTTTTCATCATCATTCGGACTGAAAACTGGCACCTGTCTTTTGGCTGTGGTTTTTGGGGTGAACAGTGGATGAGAGCCTCAGCAGGGAATCCAGCCTGCAAGGAGGGTGGTGAGAGCACCCAATCACCCTAACAACCAATTCACTACCCCTTCAACAGCATGGTATTTTGCAAGTACCATGAAAGTTGGCCACTGTGGTCATTATAACCACAGCTTCTCTGTTGTTTGTAGATTTTTTATTTGGCTACTCAAAAACATCTTTTCTTGATATTTGTTCACGGCATACAGAATTTACTGTTCTTCACCCTAAAGTATAGATCATTCTTTTTTTCTGGTGTGATGGAAAAATAATTTAATTAAGTTAGCCTTAAAAGTTACCAGTACATTTATAGTTCCTATAGGTTTTGCTAAACCAATTTGCTATGATCATTTCTCTGTCAGCTTTCACAAAGTAAACCATTTGACTCTAGAATGGTCATAATGGTTGGCAGCTGCACAGTACCTTAATTTTAAAAGGACTGTCATATCCATTATTTATTTGACCTTCCCAATAACTGTTTCTGTGACAGGTTAGGCTTTATTGTTCCCATTTTACAGATAAAGAAGTTGAGGGAGATTTAAAAGATTAATTCTGTTAGAAATGGATCTCAAATTTGATTCTTTCCTGACTCCAAGTCTAGGCTCAGAATGCCTGTCCACTTTGTAGAGAGCTCTTTAGCATCTTCCTATTAATTAATATGCACGATGCTCTTTTTTGTTGCCTTCCATTTCTGTTGGCTTCGGTTTCCCAGAAGAGGGGCTGCCCAACGTGCGGGAGTCCAGGCTGGATGGCTGCAAACTAGCACACTTAAGTTCTTCCTGTCTCCAGTCTCTCGGTCTTCCTTTTCTGTGGCCCTTCCAGTTTCACCATCTATGGACATCTCCTCCTTGTTCTAGCCCCAACTTCTCCACTCTCCCTACCCCACTCCCGTGGGACCTCCCATCCTTAATCATCCGCAGGAAAGCCCATCCGCTAGGGGAGGCCGAGGGCACGGACCGCAGCGCGCGCCGGGAAGCCGTGCTGAAGGTTGCTTCTGCATTTCCTTCCTCACGGTCCTCTGGAACATCCTCACCGCCCTCCGGCCCCGGTTCTCTCCAGCCCGCCCCGGATCCGCCTCCTTCTCCTTCCTCCCGGAGGTTGAGACGAAGCGTGGGACGCACCTGTGTCCCTCTCCGGTCACCCTGTTGAGGCACTGGGGGCTGCTCCGGGAGCAGGATTTACAGGCCCTGAGAACGCCAATGGGAGATCCAAATGGTCGGGGACTCCGGCACTTTAAGAGGCTTTTCTCTGGGAAACACCCGTCCCCTCCGAGCGCCTTATGAATGGAAATACTCCTCCCCCGGTCGAGCCCATTTTCCCATTTCACCAGGAGCCGCAGCTCGTTCTCTCCTTTCGGTCTCCCCGCCCACATCAACGCGGGCAGCTCCAGGAGGGGACGGACAGGAAGCCTTTGGCCGCCTATTAAATCCCACCCATTTCTCCGGGGGCGATTTCCTAACCTTCCGGGACCGAATTCTGCAATTTGATGTGCGTTTTGTCCGAATGGTAGCGACACGGGCCTAAGGGAGGGGGAAAGCGAGGGGGTGGGGGGTGGGGGGTATGCGCTCTTTTCCTCGCAACATCGCTGGCGGAGCGAGGGAGCTCACAGGACACAGATTTTGGGGCAAAGCCTTTCCATCTGGACAGCACCATGTCCACCAAAGCGGAGCAGTGTAAGTAGCAGCCGGCCCGGCATTCCGGCCCGGCCTCCGGCTGGGAGCTATCGCAGTTGCGGCGTTTGCGGCTGCTGGGAGACCTTGGCATTGTGCTGGTGCGGGGGTGGGGGCTGAGGTTGGGGCGGGTGGGGGTGGGGGTGAGGGTGAAGGTGGGGGAGGGCGGACGTTAATGAGAACGCGGCGCTGTCCCTGGTGCTGAAAAATACTGCGGTCTTCTCAGGCTTGTGGGGTTTCGCACGACTAAAATACCCTGCGAAATGAAATTGAAATGGGGTCATTTTCGGGAAAAGAGGCCTCGTATCTTTCAGATAAACATTTCAGTATCTCTTGTTGGAGTGGGGGAAGGGGGCAGCGGCAAATCAGGGGCGGGGAACTGTCAATTGCAACCAAAGCCTGCTTGGCCTTCTGAGCATGCCCAGTTCCTGGTGCTGGAGCCATCGGGGAGTTTGAGTCTGCAGTTTCCACTTTGGGTTGAAGAGGCAAGAAGGGAGAGAAGAGGGAGGGAACGAGAAGCCAGGCAGAATTCTGAATTCAGTATAAGGAAAATCAGCTCACAAATACCAGTACTAATGCTAAACTAACCACAACCCTGAGGTGCTTACAAGAAAGTGAAAGAGGTGCTGGGAAAATGATCTAATTTTTTTCCAAGAGCAGGCTTCCTTTGTAGGACAGCTCACACAAACTCTAAAAAATAGCACAGAACGATTTTGGCTGTCCCAGTAATGACTGTGTTCGAGGTCGGGAACAACACGCTAACTCTTTGTGGACAGAGAAGGAAGTTTCTAAGACAGTCCCCGTGGTCTTTCTTATTGATGTGTGCACCAGCATGCACTTGATAAACTGACTAATGTGATAGATTTTCCTGAGTGCACTTGAGGGATTTAGGAGCTTAAACTTCTGGTTGTAAATAAAGTATGTTTTTCTTAAACAGTAAATTGTAACAAGTATCCCCAAATTTATTCATCTAGATGACTCCTGTTTCTTCCAAAGCAGTACACACTCATGTAGGTAATGCTGTCCCTACTTAAAAGTCGTTATAATTCTTATTTGCAATGATTATTAGAAACCATTTTATGAGACATTTTAAGACATGATAGTCTCTTTTGGGAGGAGTATCTTGCATACGATAAACTGCAAGATGGTATGTCATTTATTCACCAGGTAGATGGACTGGACAAAAGACTCACAGAAGTCCCAGACTGATTGTTTTTTTTAGCAAGAATTGTGCCTGCCCTTCTACCAACCAGTGCTTGTACCTCTTTATAGTGTTTTTGGAATCTGGAAGGTCAGAGTTTGAATCCTACTTCTTCCCCTGTTTGACCTTGGGCAAGATAATTGACCTCTCTGAATTTTATTTCCTCATCTGTAAACCTGGGCTAATAATGCTGATGGGGTTGTTGTGATTAAAAATGAGAGACTCTGAAGGAAAGGTTTAGTGAGCCTAGCACATAGCATTTACTCAATAAATGATTTCTTTGATACTGACAATATTTTCTACTTAAATAGACTATCTCTTTTAAATGGTAGGGAAACTTGTTTGTGTGATTTCTTTTTCCTATTTCCAGAGGTGAAACATATCCTCACAGTTAAATTCTGCTTCTACAGTAGCTTTCAAAAACAAAACAAAACGAAGCAAAAAAAAAAAAAAATCAAAACAACAAAAAACTGGATGCACTCTCTTCTGAGTAATGGTAACATAGTTGGAATCAGAGTAATATTTTCCACTGGAGAATATCATATGGTAGACATTCTATTATAGTACAGTTGTTTAAAAACCCACTACCTGGTATTTGGTTTTAGATACATATTACGTAAGTAATTTCAGGTTAAAGCCAGTGGGTATTGCTGTCCTTTTACTGTGTTTTCTCCCTTGTTACATTTTTTACATACTCTGGGTGTTTTGTCTTGTCTCTTTTATGGGTAGCGAGTGCCAGAATGAATACAATCTTGATATAGATTTGGTTGTACAGTGCAACTTGTAGATTTGAATAACTGCTTTAGATTTGTTCCTAAAACATTTTTATCTGTAAAGGATGCAAGATACTGTATTTGGAGCTACAATGTAAGGATTTGAGTCTTGTATGCTCTTCTGGCTAACTGGGAGATGTGGAATAATTAATTTAATAGCTTTGTATCTTAGAATTCTCATTTTTAAAATAAGGAATAATAGTAGTAGCACATATTTTTAATCCTTAGGTTGGAGGGCAAAGGAGGTAAATGTGAGAAAGGCTGTGAAAAGGATAAGGATGTTTTGGGTGCTTTTTAAAGTATTTTATTTAGAGTAAAGATAAGTTTGAAACCTTTTTTCTTTGTCTCTGACATGCATTTATGTGAATAGACTGACACTTCAGTGCATATTACATACCTGAAAATAGAACAAAAATATGAACAGCAGCATAGTTGATGTTCATGAAGGATAAATGCTTTTTACTAAGGAAAAGTTATAGATTGGTCATAGTTTATACCTGGACTTGTCAGGAGTAGGCTGGAGAAAAGACAAAGAAAAAGGAGGGCCATGAGATTTTTCTTTGCTACTGGGTGTGAAGATCACCAGAAGAGTATTCATTTCTCTTTTGCATTTAGAGCATGCATGGTACCAATTCTTGTAGATCAATGGGGAACAGTTATGCGTAATATACTTTTCAAATATTATTTCTGTTTCTCTTCATAGAACCTCTTGATGTAGGCAAGGGTTTCACTGGTACAGGAAGTAGGCATAGTTTGGTTGAACCAGCAAGAGGAAGTATTTGCATTTCATCCCAAATAGATTATGCGATTTACCTTTAAAGTGTAATGTATCACAGAGATATGAAAAAAATTCAAAAATCTATTGTGACACTTTATGAGATAAATAATACTGATGAAAGACAGGCTAGTTTGAGCAAAGATGTAATTTGGAACCTCTTTTTAAATATTTAATCTGTTTTCTGTGCTCTCTGCAGAGCCTCATTATGGGAGGTGAAAGCTTCCTAGTAATTTCTTAGGCAATCGCACAATAAATTCTTTCTCCTGTAAATGCTGCTTTTGCTCACAGTCACAATTTACTACAGTGAAAATGTTATGTAACTGATATCGAATTGGAAATAATATAAATAAGAAATAATGTTTTCTTTTATTTGGAATCTAAAGAGGAGTCTTAACTTTTCCCAACCCCCACAACTTTCTCTGTCTTCTAAGAGTTAAACTGACTAACCTGGAGTACTGTAAGATGTTGTTTGAAATGAAACAGTGCTTTTGGTAATAGCAGAGTTTAAGAGTTGGTCTTCTAGCATCAGATTGCTACCTGGATTTGAATCTTGGCTGTGCTTCCTGAAAATTCTGTGACCTTGAATAACTTAACTTCTCTAAACCCCGATTGTGCCATGTATAAATGGGGTATAGTAATAGCTGTGAAGATTAAATGAGGTGGTCCATGAAAAGTGCCTAGCATGAAACCCTGGAACGTAACGTGGAGTTAATAAATGAGAGCTATTATTATCATTATCACCAAGTATGAAACTATAGATTCGTTGCCAAAATGTGGGGAATTTTTTGGACCTAGCCTTCTAGATTTTAACAGAACAAAGAGTGACCGTGATACTATTTAAATGGGACATGGCCTATTAGACTACTCTCCTTTTATTTTCTTTTAATCTCTTCTATAGTAGGTGAAAGGGAATCTCTGCATTGAAACTCCCTGACTTGATATATCTAGCTAAGCATGGCTGATGACCTAAATGACATTTCTAAGGCATGAACTGTCTATCCTTCATCTTTCATATTACAATGACAGTGTAGCAATGGGCAAACATAAATCACTTGTGAAAATAACCATCAAAATGCTTTTCAGATTAATCCACTGATAATTTAGGTTTAAGTTCAAAACAGCTAGTTATAGAAATGATGTGTCCTATTTTTAAAGTATTCACCCAACTCAGTATCTTTATCTTAGTAAGTAAAAACTTTTTTTATGTTAGAGATAAACACTTTTAATAGTATATCTAATTACCATTATGATTTGAAGTGAACTTTCACTCTCTGTTGTATGTTTATGGGAGCTAATTACATAGTTAAAATTTTTTTGTCATTATATGGTAGTGTTACTAAAATGGAAAAGTACCTTTCCTTTGAATAGCATAACAATCAATAGTCACTTGATATCTTTGTATGACATTTTTTACTGCTTATAGAAGAAATTCTAGTTTTATTCATACATGCAATAATTAGAGTATGACGGTTAACTATGCCTGTGGTTGCAAAAAGAATAGTTTTTAGTTTTTGTTTTGAATGATGTTTCTGTGTCATTTGACCCTGGTTTTCTATTTCTTTTTTCATTTTTTTGACTCTGGTTTTCTATTTCTTCTTTTTTTTTTTTTTTTGACCTTGGTTTTTTGACTGTTCTCAGAGTTTTTTCTTAGGGTTCTCTTCCTGCCTTTAGAAACTGAACATACCCAAATTTCCATCATCAGTCCTCTCTGTGTCTCTTTTTAATCTCTCATACTTAACTGCATCCACTTGCAAGGTATCAGTTATCACCTCTATGTGGATAACTTCTCAGAAGAATTTTATACTCCAAATATGTTTCTGGAATTAAGGGCCTGTTTCTACCCAGGAATCTTCTATGTATGACAAACTCATTGTCTTCTGTCCCACACATTTACTTATTTTGATATTACTCATATCAGTGAATGATGCCTTCACTTACTCATATCAAAAAACAAAGTCTTCCCAAACTTTTTTCTGCTGTAATTATTCAATAAACCACCAAACTCTGTGGCTTCTAGCCCATCCCACTTAATCTCTGTCCTACGTCTTTGCTCTAGTTACAGAGGA